CGTTAGTTACGTCACAGATCTGGTTCCTACACACACACACACACGGACACACACACACACGGGCACACACACACACGGGCACACACACACACACACACACACACACACACACACACACACACACACACACACACTCTAGATGTGTCCCCCGCCCCCTTATGTTCCCATCCCCCCACGTGAATCACACTTGGCACACACAAACGCACAAACACACGCACACAACAATTTGACACATTTCCCGCTCTTATGTGACCATCCCCCCACATGGATCACACCTGGCACACGCAATACATGTTCAGTGTCTGTTCTTTGTATATTTACTGCAGTTTTTCATGTATACCAGTAGTCTGATACAATATTTACAGTTTGAAAGGTTGTTAAATGACATTTGGTGATGATTAATGGTTTTTGTGTTAAAGTAATAGCAGTTTAAACAGGATCGGTCAAATTTGACCGCGAACACCAAAGTAAGGGGGTGGGGTTAAATCAAAATCAAAAATGCGAAAAGTTTGAGAAATATCTAAGCCTTACTAATAATCAAAACATCCTCTGCCCTCCTGCAGGACGGCAGCTCTCCCTACGGAGCACGTTATGTGGGCTCCATGGTCTCAGATATTCACCGCACCATCGCCTACGGAGGGATCTTCATGTACCCCGCCAACGAGAAGAGCCCCAAGGGGAAGGTAACCGCTGACCTCCACCAACCTTTATCTGTCCAATATTCAGATTAACACATAAAACCTTTAAGATTGACATCAACGATCACAGAATCATGCTACCTAAATGTTTCCACTTACATCTACTTCATGGCAGAATAATAACATATTTGTCTGGTTTAGAAACTATAGTCTAAATACAGAGGAGGAGGTGACACTTTTGGCTCAGAGTATCCTGCTTCAACCATCACCAAGGCTCTCTTCAACATTGTTCAATAATGGTGAAATACTAGGCAATACTTTGGATAAATAAAGCATAACATTTTATTTTTTTTATTAAAAGATTACAAATAAATATCAATCAAGTGTCATTCCAGAGACCATCTTGTCCACACATGTCTGGAAGCCAATGGCCTCTTTTCAAAGTCCCACCCCTCTATTTCCTTGATGAGACCACAACTTTTTCCAATCCTCCGTTTTTGATCAGCTGTGATGTCAAACACAAAAATACAAGAAAAACCCAACAACAGCCGAAAAGCCCTCACCTATAGATACAGACAGACATGTAGCCAGAAGCTAGTGATATAACTAAAGCAACTATGGATTTGAACCTTTATATATATGATTTTAACTTAATCTCAGGTGTTTGAACAACAGAGCTGTATGAGGTCAACAAAGAGACTAGTAAAACGTGTTGAGACAGGATTTGTACAAACGCTCGGTCACCTTTGACCTTAACCTGAGGCCTGTACTAGGAAGCTGGTTCAACCTAACCTGGATATTTTTGAGTTAGCCGGTTGGCCTAATCCAAAACATACGCGCTCTCGCTAAACTGTACTACGACGCGGGTTATCAAGTGGATCGCTCAAGCCAGCCGTGTCCTATCTAGTTAGGTGCACGTTCACATGAAAGGGGTGGTATTTGGAGCATTCGACCAATCACAAACATGGACAAGCGTACTGACAGCGCAGCGCGTCATACTTCCTGAATGAAAAATCAACTATAATATTAGACATATGAAGAAGTTAAACTTTAAACATCCATGACTTAAATACTTTATCCAGGATAAAGCCACATAGTTGCACCTGCGAGGTGAATACAGCTGGTAAAAGAAAAAGTGTTTGAATGCGTACATTAACAGGTTTATGATATCACTGCCCCGTCTAAGACACGAGTGGATCTGACTTTAATTACATTTGACTCGAGTGTTTCGTCAACTTAATGTGTTGCTTAAAATAATACTTCTGCAAACAGTATGTGACACTGTGAGTGTTGCACGGCCAGATACAGCTCAACTGACTCAGATAAGGAAATATATGATACATTATGATGTGATATGCCCGCGGACTGTACCTAATGTTACTCTGATCCGGTTACTTATGTTGTGGCAGATATTTAATTAAGCTTTCTTAACATAATAGTATAATAGTTATAATAGTCAGATTGCTCTGAAGATGGGAGGTGATATTCTATTCATTTTCACGTTCACAGTCAGTGATTTTGGCCGGCCGTCTTTCCTGCAACGGCAGTTTAAACTGTGTTTCCTCCGCACACTGAGCTCTGATTGGTCAGCAGGCGTGGAGTATATCTCTCATCCTGGAACCTATCCTGCTTCGGAGCACAGACTAGTTCCAGGATAAGTCACCATGGAGATCTAGCCCGCTAAAAAGTGAACCAGCTTCGTAGTACCGGAAATCCCAGAAGTTATCTTGCTAAACGAAAATCCTGCCTCGTAGTATAGCCCCCAGCTGGCAGGCTAACAGCGGATCTGAGAGCCTTTATGAAAAGTACACTGAAGCACATTAGTCTGGCCATGAAGTCCTAAGTAAATACTTTAAAATGTTTTCTAAGAAAGGGGTAGCCAGCGCAGTCTAAAAGAGGAGCAGTTTGTAACCTGAGGCTGTTTTCCTCCTCCTGTGCTAAATAAAGCCCGGAGACAGTCGAGGCACGTCACAGAGATAGACAACAACAACTCTCACCCATTTATCCTGAACCTACTGTCTTACACCTTTAACAATGTTTCATTATCAAGATGCTCAAATTGCAAAACAAAACATTGAAATTAGATTTTAATTTTTACTTTAACAGCAGCATGGAGTTGAATGGTTGCTGGTTGTTGTGGTGTCACACCGTGTCTCATAATTGATTCTGAACTTACTGATCTTACTCTTCATGTGTTATTAGACATAGAGGAGGGCAAGGCTGTATTTAGTTGGCACATTTAAATCACATTGGTATCTCAAAGGGCTTTACATATCTCTTGTTCCCTTGTTTAATCTGTTTTTATTGTCTGGTTACACAGAGCAAAATTCTGATAAATCAATAAATAAGTGATATGGATAAAATACACTAAGTACAAAATAAATCAACAAACATACAAAGTATAGTGTGTCAAAAATTCAAGAAAAATTAGACATTGTACAGTATTGCAAAAATATAAAAAAAGAGAAAAAGTATTATATGTCGAAAATGTACCAAAAATAAATAAACCCAGTGTAGTATGTCTTAAAAGCAAAACAAAACAAAAACATTACAGTTACTTGTACTTTAGTTAAGTTGATTTTTCTTTATTTTTATGGAAAACTTCTGTTTTATACTCCACTACAATTGGCAGCTTGAGTCACAAGCAAATTTAAGTGAACAAAACAAAATATAAATCAAGATAGATAATTATAATCCAGCAATGGAATACACATTATTCAGAATTTTTACATTCCGCATAATGAACACTTTTACTTTTCATATATTTTGATGGTAAGAGTTTGCAGTATTTTAACAGTGTGGTTTTTATACTTTACTTTTACTAAGACTCCATACTATTGCCTATCTTACTACCTCAGGCCCAGAGTTGTCATGTTTTACCTTTTATGATATGTCCAAGTTTGATAACATCTAATGACTGCTACAAAAATCAAAATACATTCTGTCACAAAGTCTTTAAAGCTAAAAGAAAATACTATTTGCATGCGTATAAAGCGTTTGACCGAGGAAAACTAGCAAACCATTTTATTTACTTTGTGTTTCATAACGCCATCCTTTGTTTCCATGTTCCTGCCCAAAGCTGCGGTTGTTGTACGAGTGCAACCCCATCGCCTTCCTCATCGAGCAGGCGGGGGGGCTGGCCTCCACCGGCTTCCAGAGGGTGCTTGACATCCAGCCCGAAGAGCTCCACCAGAGGGTCCCCTTCGTGGTGGGCTCCCCCGACGACGTCAACGAGTTCCTGACCTTCGTCAAGAAGCACCAGTGAAGCTGCACAAATGTATATATACAGCTCCTATCAAATGGCACAAGGTTCTTTTTTGGGGATCTCTATGCACCAAAATAGAATAATTATTTTGCAGTTTTATCAAAATGTATAAGTTGATCACAAATCATGGAATAATACAAAAAATAAATGAATAACCGTTTTAATAAAATTGTATTTGTTCTTTTAAGTAGGCTACTCCAACCTATGTTTTTTTCTAATTGCAGAATAAATGTGCAACAAAGGCAAATTGAATTCCTTAATAATATCAAAACGGATCATCTGTTTTCATCAAATAAATAAATGAACAAATACAGATTCTACTGCTCCCTGTACATTTCAGCTTGTCCTCACACATGATTTTGAAGTTGTAATAATATACACTACAATATATTGTTTGATAAACACAGGTTATTGAATTTCCTGAATCAAAGAATATTGAAATATGTAATACGTAAGGGGGTTACAGTGTCAATTCAAAAACTCAAGTGTTGAAAACGGATTACTTTACAACAAAAAGTTAAATAATTAAGTTATAGTTTGTGGGACATTTTAAGAAGAAACACCCACAATGTGCTGCTTTTTATTTATATGGTCCACTGTGTTTTTGTTATCAGACTATATAACATAATTAGACAGAATTATAATTTTATTTCAAATTACCCTAAATTAAATAGACACCAGTAATCATTGGTTACAGCCCTGATTAACCCCTCATACCTTTAGGACCCATGTAATCGTACCCATTGTGAGAGAATCAATAATCCTCTGATCCAGAGCCAGACGTCAGCGAGTTTAGCTGCTCTCACTGGAAATCATGTGACTCTACGTGTTAGACCGTCGCGTGGGATTATCAACAGCTGAAGGCTCATTTAGCATCCGAATACCAAAAACTGAACATTGATTTCTGCTCTTATGTTGGAAGATAATGCAATGTCATAACGTTTAAAAAAAAACGGCTGATAGTATGATAGGGCGACATTGATCACATTTGTCAGCGAGCCAAGAACAAGATTAAAAACACCTCAAATCACTTTAGTCTGATTAGTCTTCAGAAGTTACGAGACAGGAGCACCTTTCAGAGCAGTACACATGCTTATGTAATGATTTTTTACAGTATAGAACAGTGTTTTTAATGATTACCGGTAAATATTATATATTTACAGTATTTATATAGCTTTAATGTAATGCATCTCCAAATTGGGTGATTTCTTTTCCCCAGATACTTTGAATAGTTGCTATTAATCCTCTTATAAAACTCAAAGTATGTGAAAAATACATCATTATAAGAGGCCATATTTTGCTCATTCTCAGGTTTTCTAATTGCATTTCGTGCCTCTAATGTGACATTTGTCTCATACTGCCTGCAGCACCTCTTTTCACCCTCTGTCTGAAACCAGAGCCATGTAAATGCCCAAAGGCTAATATAACCCAAAAAAGCCAAATAAGGCCCCTTTAAAAAAGGCAGTTGTTTCTTATTTGTCATTTAAGAAAATCAGCTAAAACCATGTCTTGAAATAAGACATTAAAAATACAAATTACATTTAAAAAACATCCAGAAAACCATGTAGTGTTTCACAACTTTTAATTGATCACAGTAAAAGTAGAAAAAAACCTTTACATTGACCGCAGCAAGTTTTTAAGCATCACTTACCAAGTAACGTACACATATTTACAAATAATAAAAACACCAAACTAAAATTTGTTTTAAACAAAAATAAAAGTGGCACAAAACCAGCCAAAAAAAAGGCGCCATTTCCCTAAAAACAACAAACAGTGTTTGATTAACAGTCGCAGAATCTCCTGCGGTTATTGTCGCGGTGACTGAAGCCTCGCCGCCGCCTCCAACCAAACTATTGCAATAAAAAACACTAAGGAGCCAAGAAGAGCAGCTAACGTTAGACCATTGGATAGCTGGCTGCTGTCGCTATGCCGCAGAGGTTCTTCCTGTCTTTAGCCATCATGATGAAGCCTTTGTCTCCCCAGCCTTCACCCCAGCTGCAACAACACAAACAAAAAGGACAGGAAATGAGTTTCAGTTTGGATTGGAAGCGGTTAGAGAAATCAAATTAAAAGCCCAACCAGCTAGCCTCAGAGGGAGGTCCCATTTGCCTTCAACGGTTAAATTCATGTTTTAATATTTTTGTTATAAACAAGCAGCTAATCAAAATTGACGAGTTTGAGATAAAAACCCTATCAAAGTTAATGAAAATGCTGACTGGAGGTCAAATGTATTCAGTTTTGACCACCAAAACGAAAAGATGTAAGAAGGGAAACTCTTTAAATATACTTTAAGTAGTAAAAGTTCTCAACCCAAGTAGGGTGTGAAAATCATGTTATTGCAAGAATAGCTTTTTCTTTTTAATGATTCAAGACAAAATACATTTTTATTTTAAGCCTTTTAGGACTCGACAACCCTAAATAATAAATAAATAGTTCCAAAACAGAAAGGAGTATTGAAATCCATCTACAGGCACAGTATAACATATCTTTGTAAGCAGATAAACATTTTCTTAGCGCCACTTTTCCTTCAGGCAGCACTAACAAAAGAAGCAGACTGATTCTCTGTTTCCACTGACCTGTTCTTCACAATCCAGAATTTATTTCCGTCAACATCTTCTCCCTGAAATCCGTAACCCACCACCAGCACGCCGTGGTCCAGCTCCTCGCTGCTGCACTCCTTCTCGTAGTAGATTCCTAAAAACACAAGCCCAGTGAGTTTCAGTTATACTTGCTTAAAGAGAGGCGAGGGATACCAACAGAAAAGGCTTGTTACATACCAGATTGGTAGAACTGGAAGGACTCATGGCCGGCGTCGATGGCGACAGAGACGGGCCCCACGGAGGCCACGGCCTTCATCAGCGCGTGCTCCTTACCGCTGGGGATGTCCACGAAGCCCGTGTCGTTGGCAGCGTTGAACGAAGCGTCGTAGTGGCACGGCTGGTCGTCCTGCGGAGGAAGAGGAAGAGGAGGAGCGTTAGCAGGTGTCAACACAGACCTCCTGAATCCAAAACATGTCCCCCAATTCAAACTCTGAGCGAGCAATGCAGAGCTATTAATGGATTCAATGATTAATCTGCAACCAATCAAATAGTTTGAAAAGGTATATTCCTAGCCTAAATGCAAATCACTTGATTATAGCAAATTCAATATTTAGTTTTATATCTACATTTAGGTAGCATCATTCGTCTTTGTGCCTGCTTCACTTATATTTAAGACTTTTCTAATGCCAATTCCAAGGAGGAAAAATCATGTTTATGTGGGAGTAATTACGATTCAATCCTGGTACAGGTTTTATTTGTCTTCATGTTTTTGAAGTCTAATTCTTTTTTTCTCTTTTCTCTTTTTTCACAGGTGCTAAATAAACAGTTTAAAAAAAAAAAAATTATTATTATAATAAGTGTTTATTAATGGACAGTGCAATTATTACAATTGTGTGTTACTTTATCATCTTCGACAATCAGTTAATACACAGCCCTATACAGCGGCAAAACGTTTTCTACACTTTGAAATGGGACTTTTTGGTGACTTGACAGAGACACGTACCGTCCCCAGGTAGGGGTAGGAGTCCTCGGAGTCCAGGCCGCTGTTGTCCTGGACATACTTGAACGCCTGGTCCATCAGACCCCCGTTGCAGCCCTCATTGCCCTCCGGTCTGGAGCAGTCCACCAGGTTCTGCTCGCTCAGAGACACTAGCTTACCCGTCTTCCTGAAGACCTGACCCTCCAGAGCCCCGGTGGTGCTGAACGCCCAGCAGGAGCCACAATTACCCTGGGGCACAGACACAGGATCAGTTCACCTCCTTTGCCTTAAAGATCTGACTACAGAGTTAAAAAGGCACCTGTACATGTTTGTTTGTTTAAAAAAAAAAAGCATGCATCGCTTTCTGATGTTGGCCATTTTGTTACTTTTGTTCTCTCCTGTGAGTCCCGGAAGCATTGGACATTGTAGAGAGACACTTTGTTAGGGAGTCTAACTGTTAATACGTGCTATCTTTTATTAGCTTTGTGCGATTGTGGTTGAGACATAATACGTTTTAACATAAAGACAGACAGAAAGAAGAAGTTTAGAAATCAGTTTCCTTACATATATCCCTCTGGATTCTCCAAACCGTTGTGACAGTTTCTTATTTAAAATAACTGACTTTATTACCATCACCTTCAGGACAGACCAATATGATTTTTGCAGTTAGCATATTGCGTCACGTTTTTAAATTTGAGTCATTTGATTGTGTTGTACTTGTGTGATCCATTCTGTTCCTGGTTATGCACATTATCTCTCTGATTCCGGACACTTCTCTTTTATAGATAACATTGTATTGGAAGCTGCACTCCAGTACTTTGGCCTAATGTATATGATTACAGTTTACAGGGAGCTGGTAGGGCCGGTTTCAGCTTACAGATTGTTAATGTATTTGCAGGGGGTGAGCAGAGAGAACAGACTGTACACTCAGGGCGGAGGAGTGTGTGTGTCGCTAGATAACTAAAACAACATGCAAGTGGCCCTCTTATCTCCCTGTTCGAGCAAAAAAAGTAGTGGACAGGGTGCCCTTATTGTCTTCCAACAAGCAAATCCGTAACCATGAAGCTGTTCAAAGTCACATATTACGTAATTCTGTTTACCAAATGTTTCCAACAGCTGATACGAGTGTGTGTATCTCCTGCAGTGCTAACAAAGATACAAAAATGAGCATGTGTGTGTTTCGACACAAGCTTTTCACTGCAACAACAATTGGCCATATGCGTGGTTTTTTTCATCAATGTCAGTTATGTAACAATAAAGGCTTAAAATTTCAGTCCAAATGTGACTTTTCTTTTTCAAACCGAGCCATTGATTTGCCTGATTAACAGATGGTGTATCTGTTCTTGGTAAAAAAAAAAAGTGTATCACTAAGAGTTGTTTTTGTCTTAACGGTAGTTAATAAATTATCCCAAATATCTATACCCGAGTCAGATTTTGCTAACACTCCCTACAGTGTTACCGGAAAATATTTTCTAGATTTGACCTCCTTGCAAACACATAGCTGCACCTTGATGTGTGAGCCGGCGAGATATAAAGAGGTTATTACCTGGTCCTTAACGGGAGTGACGTAGCCCTTTTCCCTCCAGTCCACAGAGCGGGGGGCTTCCAGGAAGTTGGGCTCCATGAACAGGGACCCCTTCACCTTTCTCTCCGCTTTGTGCTTGTAGCCGTTCATGATCTGCCTGAACTCCTCGTGAGTCTGTAGAAAGAGAATATTAACTGAGTAAATGAAGCTGAGTTACTCTAACAAAAAGACTTGAAAATAGAAAAGCTGTGGTCTATGATTGTTGTGTTTATAGCTATAGCAAAAAGTATAATTTAGTGCTAAAGTGGATGCATTTTTTGCAATTATTGTCATTAGTATCTCCAACTATAGTTTTGTGTCCTGTCATTATCCGGTTTTATAAAAACAACAGTGTGTTTAATGCCATATGCCAAGTTTTTCCCCTATTTTATTTTTCATCTTAGCATGCCTTTGTCCCACACATCCAATATGTTATTACTGGAGGTGTGTATATTTGGACACGAGTTTAATATATACAATGTTTTATGACAATACAATTGATTTACGGCATCAACCGTCTATATTTGGAGGGCAAATGTTCTCAACGACTCTTGTTATTGAATCAGTTTTCCGTGCTTATTTGTTTTCCAGGCCCTATAAAATCCCTGATATGCGCTGTAAAGTAAGTTATGTGTCCAAAGTGTGGGCTCACCATGTCTCCGAAGTGGTTCATGCCCAGGCGGTAGGAGTGTGTTCCCATGGAGTGCTCCAGGTTGTGCAGCTCGATCTTATTCAGGTTCTTCTCCCATACCATTCTCCTCCAGCCCTCTTCCTTCTACAAAACAAAAGGAGAAAAAACATTCAGAATTGTGTTTGTGCCAAATGGCAAAACTAAAAGCAGCTTAAATAAAAAATTCCTCACCTCATGATAGCTTTTACTGTGCCAGTTCTTCCACAGGTTCCAGTGGTTGTCCAGTCTCGGGTCCAGGCTGGGGGCAGAGAGGGTGGCGCTGAGGCACACGGCCAATACGGCGAGAGGCAGCATTGTTGCTTCCTACTGGAAACAAACAAACAATTTCCAAGGAAGGTTAATCATTGATTCTCCCAGGTAACATAATCCATTACCAACAACTGAATATCATTAGGAAAAGCGTTTGATCATGCCGCGAAATCCACTTGTTTACTCATGCACCCATTAGTCTGTGGTACAGTTTGTCCACAGCCGCATTAAAGCTGCAGTACACATTCCAGACAGTGCCGTCATTTCCCGACGGCTCGGCTCAAAAACTCGATAATTATCAGGCAAAATAAAATATTTGAGACCGAATGACCCCTATACTTGTTTAATAGTGACTGTTAGATATAATATGTTGTTGTTTGGGGATGTTTTCCTTCAAAATAGGGAGCAGAAACTTCGCCACGTTCCGACCACACAGCGAACCTGTTTTTCTTTAGTTCGCTATCACGGGATATGCTGCGGTGGCCGAGAGCCAATAACCCGGCCAGGAAATCGAAACTACTACCACCAAATGATAAAGGAAAAGTAAAACTATAACCGGTAGCTGGCAGAGAGCGGTTTCTTCCAACGAAACCCGGTGCTGGTGGATGTTCTTTTAAACCGCAGGAAGAACACTAGTAATGGCTGCTTTAGGCTATAGTGGAGCTAGAAGACGAAGACAAAGACAGCCGAATGAAACAACATAGCAAAGGCTGGCAGATAAACATGTTAGTGTTTTAAAAAATAAATAAAATTAAGATGTTATCAAGTCGACATTCATTCAAACATACACTTGGGTGTTGTTTTTTTCTGGGATTAAACGACGGGGCAAAAAAACCCAGAATAAACAGTAATATTCATCTATATGCTTGCTTTAAAGCAAGTATAACCATCAGGTGTTTAATATGCTAATATCCGAAAGCAAGTCTAACGAATAATTATTGCACTTACAGTATATTCTCAACAGCTGAAGACGACGAAGAAAATACCCTTCGGTGGAGGTACACAAAGTTTATAAAGGCCTGAGTGAGCCTCTGTGATTGGTCCGCTCCTTGTTTATGCCCACCGATGACCCGCCCCCGACCTGCAACGTCATCTTTGGAAGCACGTGATTCCTTTTCTCTGGAAAAGAGAAAAACGATATGTCTTCATGTTGGATTGTTGCAGCTGAAAACAATTTCTATTAACTCAGGGTTTTTTCTTTGAACTTAATTTATGTCATGGACCATTCAATATATATTTATTTACACTTATACAAATATAGGTGAAGCAAAGACCCTTTTTTGTAAGCCTAATCAAATCAGCTTTTCGACAAGTTTACGAAGTAAACAAACTGTTCAAATACTTTAAATCCTAAATCCCTATTTGTGTTCTCCTCAGTGTGTTCACATGCATGTTGCTTTATAAAGTAGTTTTGGTTATTCGAGTATAGGCTTGAATGCAGATTTTCCCAACTAGATTTATCCTGAAGACATTTAGACACCTTTTGGCAATCGGTTTCATTACCAGGTTTCTTATCTTCCTTTAACATGTTTGCATGTAGGCTACATGAGAAACTCTTCAAACAGTGGAAGTATTGTTGTGACAGCTGAAATTGAATAAATAAGTCTGTTTCTACCACTTGTATAGTTTATAACACAACTACTGCAAAACAGTAGGCGAACTCCTAAATAATTGATAGGAAGGAGATTGATAATAAGCCTATCTTTACCTTCAACTCCAGCATTAATACTGAAGTTTCAACCAACAGCAGAACTATAAAATCAGCAGCCAAATGTTCAATCAAACTACAAACAAAGATAAGGCGACACATTATGTCATTGATTATGTCTCAGACAAAGCTGTGTCTTTGAAGGATGGCAGTGAAATTAAAATGTATTACTCAATAAGGTTAAAAAAGATGTTCAATACTATTAGTGATGGCCGATGTTTTCATTTTTATAACAATGGGATTGAATGAACATGCAGGATTTACATGAACTTGCTGGAACAAAGTCTGAGTTGATCATGTGGTTGATAAAGGTTGTGAAACTGAGAACTCTGATGGCCGGGTTGTTTATGCATTTGGAACTAAACCTTTTGTTGTGTGAACACTTCTTATTTATGAAATAATCTGACATTAGATGTAGAAAGTAAGCAAGTACATGTACTCTACCTAATCTGCCTAAGTAGAGTTTTTAGTTTTTTTACATTAATATTGATACAAGGCTTTTTATTCTACAGACTGGACCTACTCACAACCACTGGTAGTGTAACTATTTGCAAAAGTACTGCAATTAAGTAAAAAATATTTGACCTAATTTTAATAATAGATATTACTTCTTCTGCTACATTTCAGAGGGAATCTGGTCTCTTTTTTACTACATTGTATTTATCTGACATTAGTTACTTTGCAGATTTAAAACAGACTATAATGTACACAGATTTGTTTTAAATGTAACAAAACACATACATTTGCTTCAGTGGAAATAAAGCCAAATATTCTACAAATGAGTATTTTAACACTATGCTGATAAAGCTTGTGCCCTATTACGTATTGCTTCCCTCATCAATTAACAAAAAATGGATGTGACTGCTTCCACCTCTGCTGACACCACTGACTCATCAGAGATATCCAAGATGCTCTAATCTGGTGTTAAACTGACTCTATAATATACAACTGAGTATACTTGCATATCCATACAGGAAGTTCTCGGTCAATAATTGTCATGTTGATCCAGTTACACATGCTGAGGATGCATGTCTGCTCTCTCATTTCTGCCAACTATGTTTCTTTTTTAGCTTGTGTAAAATATGATGCAGTGGAAATATTGGAACATCATGCACCCCGTTACAACATAAACATGTGATGCATTACTTGGACATAATGATTGACTCATGTCACATTATGTCACTGTTTAGATGTAGCACTAGCATTCAATGTATTGAGTATGATACTTATATCCTTTTCAATTTATACTATATTTACTTTATCAGATAGGCCTAAATATAAATTCCTGTATAAGCATTCAAGTTATAGTTAATATTCTAAGTTTTAAAAAGTAGGCTGGCTATTTTTAAGTCTTTATGCTAAGCTAGGCTAACTGGCTGCTGGCCCGAAATTCCTTCTTATCTTTCAAATATTTGAACAGTGGTATCTTCTCCTTCAAGTTTTGACAAAAATAAAAGTATGTTTAGTACAATGTTAAATGATTGTTTGCACAGCTGAGTATGCTAGATTTATAAAAGTATCCAAACAAATACCCAGCCTGTTGTTGCAATCTCTCTTTCTGTGAAAGTAGCTAGCAGCACTAGCTTCAAAAGTAGCCACATTTACGAGAAAGTCGCTAAATTGACAATTCTGACAATGCCCCTGCTTAGTTTTATTACTAATTTCCTTATTTTTTTAAAGAAACGTATGAATATTCAGTTTATCTTAACTGTTGCTGATAAACTCAGACAATTGCTACCATATCATTAATAAATTCCTAAGATTAGGAGGCTAGCTAAACTAAACAAGGTTATCAGCCGCGGTCTATGGTCTTCACATCCAGACACAAACAAACAGAGTTGAATGACCAACATCTTTACACACCAGTCAATATCCATCCTTGTTGTTTTTTCTTTACATCACAACCTCTAATGAGCAGTTACATGAGGTATTTGCATTAAGCTAAAGAGTGAGTGTTCTTCACAATGCCTAGGAAGGCAAGCAAGTTAAAAACTATGCTGTGTTGCCAGTAAACCTCCCTTTACTGAGAGGAATCAAACCCAACCGGTTTTTCTTTAAATTAAGAAAGGTTGGCATTACCTCATTAATATATTTATAGTGTGTACTTATAAATATTTGTGCAGTCTGATATGTTACATTCTACATCACTTTAATTTCAGTTCAAGTAATTCTTATTTCATTAAATGTACCATTAGGCTATATTATTTTACCTTAGGTTATATTTTGTATTCCCATTTGATAACTGCACTATTTCATGTTTAAGATGAAACAATGACTCGTTTTACTTTTATACTTATTTAATTGAGCATTGGAAATAGGAAGATTATCTCAATATTTCTTTATTATTTTTGATTATCTTCAGTATTCCTTGTTTGTGTGTGCACTGCCGTTTGTTTAAGTAGGCCAAACTGATTCCAAAACATGAAAAAAGTGCTCATTTTGAAACGTGAATATGTATTTCTTATTCAATTTATTGTACAGGCAGTTAGGAAATTAATGCTTTTTTGTAAATGTGATGGAAAGGTGAGTGGTAGTGGTTCAAACTATGTTTTTTTTAAAAAGAAAAATGTTGGTATTTATTAACTTATTTAAGTTCAAATTTCACTTTTACTTTCATTTAAAACAGCTTAAAAACACATTAAATGGGGAATTAAGCCTGGATCACTTTGAAGGTGTTGATTGTGCTGAATCGTTTTTTTGAAGCAAAACAAATAATCACCAAATCTGTCTATAATTCTGTTTTGTAAGATTCAAACTAATCCAGAAACACGTGATTTAATCGTCAGGCCTTCTGCTCTATTTATCTCTCTGTACAAATAGTTTTGAATGGCAGTCTACACTGTCAGCATTTGAAACAAGTTGAGACAAATCCAGTCATGTGAGTGTGTGTGTTTGTATGGGCGGAGGGTCGACTTCCTGCAGCTCCACAATGAACTCAGAGACGTGTGAATAACACAGCCTGGAATCTGTTGGAGGACAAATAAAGGTTAGAAGACATGCACCTGACCCTGATTCTCCAAAGAGATTTGAAATCATAAGAAGTGAGGAGGTCCTTTAAACATACACTGAGGGGGGGGGGAGAAATATTTTAATATCCCTATTATCTTGGTTTAAGTTGTTGCTTAAGTAAAAGCATAGACTATTTTCTAACTCTACATACAAATGGTATTTACTTTATGTAACACTGGTACAAAAATGATAAGGGGTTTTAATCTTTAATTGAGCCCTAGAGTAATATTTTCTTTAATAAATAAAAAATGTTTTAAGTGGGATGAATACATACAATCCTGGGAATATGATAATGACACTCCTTCGGAGGAAATATCCTTAAAATAAACAAATTGCACCTGGAACACCTCACTGGCATAATTTGCTCTTAAACGAAAAAGAAAAAAACACATTAAATACACTAATTTGATGAAGAAAACTAAAAAATCTATATTTAATAGTGTGAAACTGCTTCACTTCCACTATATTGCACACACATAACAGTTAAACAGTACATTGCATCTCACGAGATAACAAATATAAAGTCAATGTCTTCTAAAACCTTATCAGTACAGGGACAAAAACCCATAAAAACAGGATGTTGTTACTTGGAAATAAAGCAAGTCATAGAAGAAGCCTGTAAAAAACATGTGTGGTCAAATATGTTGTTGTTGTCCTTTTATTCAACTCAGGACTCAGGTAACCAGGGTGCAGACTTTTTGAATTACCTAATTGTATGTCTTCAATTAGAACAGAGAGACAATGACATTAGGTAAAGAATTTATTATAAAATGTATTACACTATAAAGTGTCAGAAGTACTAACAACATGGCATTCCAAGACATGCTAAAAGAACATAACATAAATAGCGACAAAAAGATAATGTGTGCAATGTGGCGATTAGACCGCAGTCTCTGAAGGTGGGAGAATAAGCATCAAACAAAAACATACAGAAAAATACTTTTGAATCCACTCATTTATGTCTGAACCATATGGAAATAGACAACGTGCGGAGACAAAGTTGATAATAATATAGTGATTCCCAGCTTTTACAAAAACATAATATTCACTTCCCTTTCTGAAACATCACTTCTTCGCTTGTATACTGTACAAAGTTATAATAAGAGGAATGAACGAGTGTGTTTTAGGCACACAGCATTGGCAAACTTTTTAAAGAAAAATAAAGTAAGTACAAATAATATGTGTCTGACCACTTTGGGACATTTAATCACATTTGTACATTTTGCACATTTGTAGCATATCTTTGATTCGTTTTTATATTCTTAGGAGCGATGTGCAGTACATTCAGTTTGCCTTGTTGAAATTGGAATCAACTAATTGAGGCCAAGAGTGTGAAAAGGGAAGTGAAGAACCAGGCCGGGAGTATTTACATCACAGCTGGAAATATTGCTGTGTGGATTGGCAAGTTCAGGCCCAGACAAATAAAGTTAGAGAAGTACTACATTTGAAAAAGTATTCAAAGCATTATCTCTGCAAAACAGACAGTAACACTGGGAAAGTAAAGCGGACAGGAAATACTGCACTCTGGCACGTCAGCGCAACTGTTTACTACCAACTTGTGACAGTGTCCTGAAAAAGGGCCACACAGTATTGACATCTTTTTAAGAATGAAAGACTCTTTTCCAAAACATCAACACATGAAAATGTTTTCTGATCACAAACATTATAAAACGCCAAGCTTACACCGATACGACATTTCTGTCACCAGCAGCCTTTGATCCTTTCTACAGCTAACAATACTAACTTTATTCCATCTTTTACTTTGCTTTTGCTGACCGAGCCGGGCCGCAGATTCATGTTATAAAAAGTGAAAGGAGATGTGAAGCCACGCGCGGCCGAGTGACGCTCAAATGTACCTCGACGGAGTTTACTAATCTGACACTGGAAGGTTACTTCACGTTGATGAGGAAGCATCACAAAGGTGCCGTGTCAGGTTTGTTTACTGGGTTTAATAAATTACTTTTTAGTAGAAAACATGAACTTCTATTTATTTGTTTCCATCATTGTGGTGGCACTCTCTATTTAAAGTAAAGGAAGATGAGCAGTGTCTGCTCCACCCTGTCCGCCATTAGGATATAAAATGTCACTTTAAAGCAAATACATTTAGGTGGTAGAAGGCCCAATTCCCTTCAATAAGACAATGCACTTAGAGGGGAAATCTTCCCTGTTCAAAATGGCTAAAGGTCCCTTTCTGTGCACTGAACATGAGCAGACTTGTAAGTGAAAACATTTATAGGAACAATTTAATTTACAGCTTCCATAGTTGGTTAAAATGTCAAATAAAGAAAATATTCTACTGTAAACTCTTTGAAAGGTTCCTAGAAAGAACTGTCTTTGTAATTTGGTAATAATTATAGGAAAATGTGTAGTAACGGCGATCCCTCAAAAAGAAATACAAACTTATCTAAAGCCTGTTTTGGATGGAAAGTAACAAACATTAAGTTTACCAAACAAAAATCAGTAAGCGGAATAGGACACGTTTCGATAACCTAAACAAAAAGTTAAAACTCATTTCCCAAAAGTCACGGGTTCTGGCTACAGAAACATATTTGCTGGTGTTCTTTGTCTTGTACGTTATAAATCTTTGGGTTTTTAATCAATTGAAAAACAGATTAGTGAAGATTGAAGTCTTACCTGCTGGTGGAGAAACTAAAGATAATAACTGAACATTAGTTCAAAAGGGCAATTTGATTTCTCTTACAGTTTGAACAGAATAGCAAGTATTTCAAGGGAAATTCCAACAACTAAACACAAGTTTGTCACACTATAGTTAATACCACATGAAATTGTTCTTTTAAGGACGTTTCTTAGGGCGATTATGCGACCGTTACAATAAATTGTCAGCACAAAGCTAATCTGTAGGAACCCACAAAAGCATCCATTAAACAGGAATGACCCCACATCGTCTCCTCACTGACTCTTATAAAAGGTTAGATCTCTACAGTGACTCCCAAACACTAAAGAGAAAACAGCAAGATATCTGATTTCAGCTTTTTTAATGCCGGCAAAATCTAATTGTAAAATGAGCCTAGCTTTCTTTTTTCTTTATTAAATAACCATTTTACAAGTCTGAAATGTAGGATGGTTTCATTTAAAAACTTGATTGAAATGTTCCTATTGGTGTCAACAAGGCACAGTTCTTTAAATGTTGGGCTATTTTATAATAACAAGACTATTTGTGCTCTTTAGGGAGGTAGAAGGCCACAAAGGCACACTCTGACAAAATGCTTTTCATTTATTAAACACTAAGCTGAACGGCCCAAATGTCACAAAACAACAGTAGAAAGGAAAGAATAATATTATTTGTTGTAACTAAGATGGATGGAGTGAGTACAAACGGCATGTCCTCAGTAGGATATGAATAGGTCCGAACTTGAGGCGGCCATCTTTTAAAATCATCCCTTCACATAGTTAGTAGCTTATAAATGTAGCCGAGTGAGTCTTAAGTGTGCAGTACAGCAGAAGGGATTTTAAAAAGCAGCACGACAAGATTAAGAAACAGAATAAAAGCACAGGGTTCCTCTTTGGAGCTCAGGACAATCAGCTCTTTCACAACATTCATAGTGGAAGGTCAGCTATACAGGTGTGGAGAGCACAAACACGAAATCTGGTTCCCACGGCAACTTAATATAGTGATTAAGGAGCGAGCAGCTGAACGATTGCACTTCATGTTCATTCACACACGAGTCCTGTTTCAGGGGGAAAACGTCAAGTTAAACACAATCCGCAGTTTGGGTGAGGACGGAGAGCCGGCCCCGCTCAGTTCAGCGGGAGATGACGGAGCTGATGGAGTTGTACGACGTGCCGCCGTTGCAGATGGGGGGGTAGCCGTTGGCCAGCGCTTCCATGTTGACCCTGAAAACAGGAGAAGCTTTGAGCAGGAAGTCGGCGACATCCCTGCGGCCGAGCTCCCTCAGTTTGGCCATCAGCACGCCCACGGTGCTGTCCGCTCGCCCGCTCCACTCCTGCAGCAGCGCCGCCGTCGGGCTGGGCTGCAGCAAGGCCTGCTGGGAGTCCTGCTCCGGGTCTAGCTCAGAGGCGCCATTGGGAGTCCCGTTGCTGTGTTTGGCCACCAACTCTGTGAGGCCGAGGTTCATGGCCAGCAGGCACCAGTCTTTCCCCAGAGCGTCAGGAGGGTCCAGCATGCGGCAGAGCTTCCTGCGGGCCAGCAGGGGGACGTCTGATATGTGGATGTCTGTTCCCAGAGTCCCCTGCTGGTAGACCTCAGCGCAGCCGAAAGACAGGATGCTGCTGAAGCTCTCTCGGTAGCCACCCATAGTGTTGGTGAGCGAGGACTCCCGTTGGACTTGTGCCCGGAGGAAATCTTTGGGTTGGTAGATCATCATGGGGGCGTGGTGCTCCCGCAGCTGCTGAGGACTCAGGTAGTATTTGGCTGTGAGCAGTCCGGGGAGCGTGGAGGCCAGCAGGTTCTCCGTTATACTACAGGCGGTGTCCAACAGGGTGTAGCACTTGGCCCGCTCAGACTCGTGCCCACGCACCTGAATCTCCAACCCCTGGCCGTGGTTGACCAGCAGGATCATGGCCTCCACTCCTCCCTGGCTCACCTTGGCTCCGTTGGTCCACAGGTGGATATCGCCGTCTAAATCCTCCCCCCCCTCCTCCTCGGGCTTCTGCTGGTGGCTCCAGCGACACAGGTTCACTTGCAATTTGTGAAACAGGCCACAGGGGAAGGGGGTGAGGTGCTCCGCAGGGACGAGACGCACGCCGCCGTAAATCAGCGACTCCTCCTCCTCTTCTTCGGTCCAGGAACGGTGGAGGCCGTTGGTCTTGATGAGAGCGGGAACGTCCACCATGGCGGGGTTGGTGGCGTCGCGGGCGCACACGTCCATTGCGTCCAGGATCTGCAGCAGCTCGTCCACGTCGCTCTCAGGAGCCAGAGCCTGCACCTCCTCCAGCCTGTAGCGCCCCCTGTAGTGGTGGATGGCCTTGGGCGTCTCGATGGAGAGAAGCTTGCCGATGACATGGCTGCAGAGCCAACGAGGCTCCAGCAGGACCACATCCTGCACCGTCTCACTCTGCATGATGTTGATCTGTGGGAGGAGGGCATGAAGGGGAGAGGAAATGTATTAGAAAGTCAGGTAATATAAGAAAGGGGTAATATAAGATTATTTTCTTCTCCCTGCTCCTTTTCGGGTATGGTGTGTTTATAGAGACATGTTTTGTAAATAATTGTTATACATTAAGTTGTGCATACCATGAACGGAATAAATACAAATGAAATGTTAGTGAAACAAATCGATAAAGATACAACAAATTAAAAAACTAATACCTAGTATATGTAGAAACATTGTTTGAGCCTCAGTACATGGCTTCCTGAGCTGAATCATCAGGTAAATAAACATGTGGCCCCTGCAGAGTAATTGTTTACACATGAAAACAAAGCATTGGGACTTATTTATTCATAAAAAATAGCGCACCCTGATGGTGGTCTGGTGAAAGGACAGTCAGCTGCTGGAGATGAGATGTATTGTACAAGAACCTTTGATTTAATCTCACAACTACCATCAAACACAGCATTTTTAAACTATATTAATAAGATGACTGGATAAAACATTTCCTTTATCATGCTCATTGCAAAATATTTTGAAAGTTTCATTTCTGTTTTGAATCAGATGAAATGTGATTTGTGATCTCACAAGTGGATAAATCATTGTTATTTGTAGTTATTTATATCAATAACAACAATAGATATTTGTTTCATCCTTACCAAAAAGAGATTCCAATAAAAAAAGGTTTTTGTTTTCTAATGTCATTTTAACAAGTGTTATTGTTGTTTCATTTGTTAGCTCTGAACATGAAAACGTTGTTGACTTTTTAGAGCCCTAACACTTGACACTGATAAACTCCACGCACCTCCCCCATGCTGTGAAGCTGCATGGCCAGCGTGCGGAGGTGATCCTGGCTGACCAGAGGGTTGATGTGCTCCTGCACGTCGCTGACAAACTGTTGCCATGATGTCAGCTGGTTGGGACCACTCAGCTTCCTCCAGGTCGGTAGGGTGGCGAGCAGCCGCTCCGACAGCAGCGTCATGGGACTACAGCTCTGTAGAGACGGAGAAGGGAGGTGAATAAAGCTTTGATGTATTTAATTTAAGGCTGGACTTGATGCTTTATAAATAATAATTGAGTCTCTTTCCAATAAAGATTTGAATGCTGAGTCATATTTAATTGAAAAATAATGATAAGATTGTCTTGTGAATTAATTGAAGTGGGAGAGCACATGTTTTTTTTAGCGCAGTGAAGATTGCGTTCTCAAAAGGCTTAACATGGTTACAAGGTATGGAAATTGAAGATTTGCAAAAACACACTAGGATATGATGAACCTATGAAGTGCATGGTACTTTATCTGGGTCATTTTACAGAAGGAATTGTCCAAAGTAAGAAGAGATATTGTTAATAGCTGGCAGAAACGCGATCACTAAAGAAATGGTACAAGGTGGAACCTCCTACTCAGGAACAATGGAAATGGAAAATCAATATAATGGAAAGACTGACAGACTGAGACTGCAAGAATCATTTGAAGGAAAATGGAAGGAATTGACAATAATTAGGAATCAAACAAGCGACAAGGATTACTAACTGACTTTCTAAGAGGGACAGTCTAACTAACTGATGAATGAGAATTTGTCTTCCAAATGCATTCGGGTTTTTTGTAAGAATTATTGTATTTGTATAAATGGCTGCAGTGTCTTTCCTTTTGTTGGCATGTACATGTACAATGCTGTTTTGACTTGTTAGTGTTTCTCACAGAGATGATGCTGGCGCGGAGCTCCTGCAGGTGAATCCTCAGCAGCTTCACGTCTTTGGAGTTTGAGGCCCCAGCGTCCATCACAAACAGTTGGTCACTGATCTCCATGTCCACCCCAAATCTAAAAAAACAAAACACAACCACCATTTCAAATCTTTTTACAGCAGTACTGAGATAAAGGTGGGGAACAGTCAAGTAATACACCTGACATTATTACATAATGTTTTGAACTAGAGACTGCAATTCCTGAAGAAATTGCTAGTGGGAATGCTTTATGCTGAAAAGCTGACGCTGAATTGCTATGCTGAAATATAATGTGTAAGAAGAAAGTGAAGAATTTAGATTGAAATGATACATGAACACTGGGGGCTTGAATGTGTGATGAGAAGAAAATAAATTAAAATGGCTTGGAAAAGCAGCAGAATATTTGAACTGCAAACTATTGAACTAACTTGATGGCGAATGATCTGTCGCCATGGCAACGGTATTTGATGACAACCCATAATACGCTTAGATATGTTGATGGCTGCATCGTTACCAAACCTGTGAAGTTTTGGGCTGTTTGGAGCATTTTCCCTGAGGTTATGAGAAAACCGTGGCGAGCATTGTATTGCCATGGCAACGGCATTTGAAGAAATCTCAAAACTGTCCCATGTCTTCACGGCTGGACTGTTAACACACATGTGAAGTTTTAGCACTTTTTGACAATTTTCATAGGAGTTATAGCAATATCGTGTTTTATTGCAAGGGATGCGTTTCCATGGCAACAGCTTTTGAGGAAAACTCACTAATGGCACATAGACATGTTGAGGGCTGGACCATTAAGCGCTTTGAGCACCCAGAAAAGCGCTTTATAAATGTAATGTATTATTATTATTATTATTATTACTATTATCATCTGAAGTCTGGTGGTGTTTTGACCATTTTCTTATCAGTTACGACAACATCGTGTTTTTTGGCGAGGGATGCGTTTCATGGAAACAGCCTAGGGTGAGATCCCAGATTTGGCGTAGAACTGTTGAGGCATGGACCGGTGGTATACAAGCGAAGTTTGGGGGACGATCGGACGGTGTCCATTGGAGTTACAGCGACATCTTGTTTTATGGCGAGGGATGCGTTTCCATAATTGACGTAGAGCTGTGTTAACCATTATCTGAAGTCTGCTGCTCTGAGCATGTCAGTTGGAGTTATGACATCATCGTGTTCCATGACACAGGTGTTTATATTTGAGCTAACGACGTGTCCAGAGATCAAAGTTTTCCATGGTGATGTCTCATTCATTGTTCTGAATGAGAGATAAACCTCTTACATGTGAACGTTTTGTTGAAGAACCGTAACAGATATCGGTGAAATCTCAAAGCGTGAAGCATGTCAAGGAACTTGAGCATCTGAAGTGTACTTTTTGTGTACTTTCGGGTTAATAATGTGGCCTTTTTGGCAGATTAACTAAAGGTGTGTGGCTGCTGTGGTGGGGAAAGGTGAGGCTGAATTTACAATGGAGTTTAATGGAGACATGTTGAACGTTTTTGTCACTTCATGCCCTCAAGAGGCATTTTGTTAAATTATCTTGCTTAATTTTTTTTTTCTATCTTTCAAGCTACAAGATGTTTTCCTACATTTGTCATTACAAATTATGTCTCAGGAATGTAGGGTTTGGGAATTATGGCAGGTTTAAAAGAAAATATGAAGGCAAAATTAAATCTGTCCTCCACTCTAGCTGTGACATCACGCACTCTAAAATCTGAAGAAGGCCTCTTTACCAAGGTCTGAACAATGTTTAATATCTCTAAAAGTAAGAATCAGATGTAAAAGTTGTGTTACACGAATAATGTCAGAAAGATGTGTAACATTTTAAAGTTGGAATGAGGTTTCTGAGTGAAAGTATGAAGAGGAGCAGTTAGCAGTTAGAGTTGCATGAAGATTGTTGAAGTCTGAAGATTTTCTCCATTGACTTCCATGTTAAAAATGGGATGTATTATGGGATGTATCTCTGGAATTATGAAAGTTATGAATGATAAAAGTAATAGCCATCGATTCCCGACCGAGCTGAACGTTTTGATGTTTGAACGGAGTTTCTGCGATGTTCAATGTGGGAGAAGAAGTGCCGCAAAATAACCCGACGGAATAATAAAGAATTTTGTGCGTAGCATAACAGATAGTTGGAATGCTGTGTCAGCATTCCCACCAAATAATAAAGGACAGCTCTCACCCAGGTCACAGACAGATACAGGAGCTTCAAATCACAGACAAACAGACTTAAAAACTGTTTCTACCCCTGGGCCATCAGGCTGCTCAACCACCACACTTAATGCAATAACCGTAACCATCTTCACACATGTACACACCTCATACACATTTTAAATGCACTTTAAAAATTATTTTTATATCAGCATTTTTAACTATCTATTCCCCCCGTATGATTGTTAATGTTGTCTGTCCTACTGCCGTGTTTTTAATCTTATGTATGTTATTGCACACTGAGACAGGGTTGCACTCTGAAATCTTGTTGTATTTTTTAGACAATGACAATAAAAGGCTTTAACTTTAACTTAAAAGGTTTCTTCAACGCACTATTTTAAGTTTTTACTTGATATAAACTTAGTAGAAAAACATACCAGCAACAGTATATTGAATTAATTCACAATGATGTGGACTGTCTAGCGTGTTTTTTTATCTTATACTAAAGAAAGTATTATGGCTATCTATCTCACCCTGTTTGATTCATTTCCCTGCCTTAGTAATTGCACTTTTTAGTGTCAATGATGGTCTATGAGAGGCATTGTGTGAGACACTTGATAAGGGATAAAAAACAAACAAACAGTGGATCCATGGGTGCTAAAAGTGATGATAATGTTCATTAAAGAGCCATTAACGATGATTTCTAGTAAATGTACAATGTTTATAGATATTTTTCCTTCCATCTCAGCCTCTTCAAATGTATGAATTTTGCAGGTGGGAATCCAGTGCATTTCCTGAATTAAAGTACACTCATAAGTTTTGGGCCAAATATACCAGGTGGCCGACCCCACTTAAGGAACAGGAAGTCCAAATGTGGAGAGACTGCACCTGTGTCTCCTGGTGCTTATAACATCTGGGATGTTGCTGCTTTGTTTACCTTTCACTGCTTGTTCTGAGATTGTTGTTTTTGGCCGTCCTTACTAATGTGCATTAATTTAGCAGGAATGCCTCTGTGAGGGTCTCTAAAGCTGTTTTTCTGTCCTCTGAAAGTAACTCTGATGTGTGTTATGCTCGGGGGGATTTGGCACATAATTGGAATGCTGTTTTTGCAATGATCAAATCAACATCCTAGTGTATAAGTGAGTCATATATTCATAATTATCATCTTGATTGCAGCAGTAGCTGTTTATTTTTGAAAAATGTGTCAAAGAAACAGTTGCCACAATTCAGAGGATGTTTTGCACCTCTAATCTGCAGAGTGTAAAGGATTGTGTCTTTTTTTTTTTTCAGTCAAAACTAACATTTTTAAAAGCTCTTGTAATGGCTCTTGAGAAATGTTAACTAGGCTACAGTTTTGATCCAAGTGCAGAGGGTTCTTGCCTCCCTACAATGCTGACCTCGACAAAGAGGCCAGCCACACAAATCTGTTCTGGCCCAGGAAAAGTAAACTACTATGTAATCCACTAATACTTCCTTCCGAAAAGAGGCTGTATGTTAATGCTTGACTATGCAACTTGGCCTTGATAAATAAAGATGGAAGGACAATAAATTAAAGCAAACTTAATACAGGGGTCGGAGAGGGCTGGCCAGGAGGCTGAGAGGAAACCCTCGTCCCCTGCAGAGGGACCGACAGGATAACAGATAGCCCTGCCGGAGCCAGACGAAGGAGGATAAAGGTGTCTGGTTTGGATTTATTTGACAGGTGTCACCATGACAGTGTTTTACAATAGGAAGAGGATGGAAACAAAAGGAGTATGATAAAAAAGAAAACAGGAGCTCTTTGGAGTGGCGAGTGTTTACATAGAAATAGGATTTAAATGGCACTGTTTTATGTTAAAGATGTTTTCTGTGTCACTGTTCACTGCTAACAGCTTTAAATAGAATAAGGATTTGTTATTTGAAGCAGTGCTTTGAGCTACGTGAGCTTTGAGCTTATGCCAACACCAGCATGTTAAAATGTTCACAATGACATGCCAACATGCTAATGTTCAGAAGGTATGATGTTTACCATGCTAGTTTAGCCAGTCCCCAATTCCGGGGACTTCCGGCCGGGGACTTCGGGTGGCAATATACGCCGTGAAGTTGTTTGCGGCCTGCCAGTAAACACAAAGCAAAAGAAGAAGAAGTGACATCAGTGGCTTCATTTGCCTAATCCTCCCTCAGGGACTTATTCCGGTGTGAACGCGATCTGTACTTAGTTCATGAGAACTCTTTAGTTCTCATGAACTAAGTTCTGATGAATCTTTGCGGGAAAAGTACTGCGGTGTGAAAGCAGTACTTGGTACTGGATGTGTATTTTGTAAATTGTGTAATTTCTAGTTTTTTTAACCTCAAAAAATGTTTTATGCATGCTTCTTAAGAGATATTAAACTGTCTTTGGCTTTTTGTTGTAACAATTGTACATTTCCCCTTTGTGGGACGAATAAAGGTATTCTGATTCTGATAAACATGACGTTAGGGTCAGATATGCTTCTCTGCTGCTATTCAGTGGTAGCTCACAAAACTGCAGTGTAATAGGTGTTGCTAGTGTTATGACCCAACGAGGGCTGCTACATTATGGCAAAAGTCATACAAAATATTATTTTGGTCAATATTGACACATTGAAAAAATTGACCATATTGCTCATTGACTCTAATGTGGATTTTCTTGAAATACATATACATATATACACACATAATTTTTTGGATGCACTGGATTAATAACACAACAACAAATTGTGTGATTAAAACAGAATGTGGCACAATAATCGTTTTATCCGGATTGTCTTATTTCATAATCAATATCACATTACAAATAAACCTAATAAGCTTATTAACCCAGCCCTCCTCCACTCACCCTCCACAGTCAGGGTGAAGCTCTTTTTGATGGGCACCCTCAGGGACTTATGGGATACTCTGCATGTGAACTCCCTTCCTGAGTGCTTGAGTGCAGCCTGCAGGTAGAAGAAGGCCGTCAGCGAGTACGTCTTGTCGTTGTTGTGTTTGTGGCTAGACAGCAGAACGTTCTGGAGCTTCTCGGGGAGAGGAGCGCCCACTCTCTGTCCCGCCACCGCCGGGTCCTGCATGTACCACCCGATCTCCACATCCAGAGGGTAATAACTGTCTGCCTCACATGTCACCCTCTGCTCCCCGCCCTCCACCAGCGTCAGAGTGGGTCCAACGTTGAGGGAGACCCTGGGAGCCTCTGAGGAGAGAATAAAGTCAGATCATCTCAGCAAAAGCGTTCCATTATGAGTTTGACTCCAGCTGCCAAACTTGTGTGCAAAAGCAAGTATGTTTTAGGTGGTACAGTTACTTCAATAGAGTGGTGCAGGGATGACGTGATTTTATAGGCCTACTCGAAGGTTAGTATCGCAAGGGCTCCTTTGACAAAAAGCATGGAAGATTTCCCTATTGGATTTTGGTGTATTGCATAAAATAAGATCTGAGGCTAATGCACGTTTATGATAGTTAATACATTTTGTTTAGCAGAATAATCTCCATATATTAACACCACTTTGTGATTTTTGAAGCATAAAGCAATCGCCATCTATTGATTCGTGTTCACCAACATGATTTTCCCCTTTTTTTCGTGTCACGCAGAACGATTTATTTTAAAAGCAATGTATTTCTATTGGTAGTATGTTTCGTGCCTGCAGCACGTCTTTTTGTCCATTCGGGTCTTGGAAGACCAGAAGCTGTGGGGTTTATAAAAACATGTTCTTACTCAATATCAAGCCACGATTATTGTTTTTATTTTAAATCGTATAATGTCAGACTTTTTTTGTCGTCTGTGAGGAAAAGAAATGGGGCTCAGACCCTCAGAATACTGAAATCTGTATTTTTT